GCCGGGGGAGCGGGCACTGTCGGAGTGCCTCAGCGCCGAGGGAGCGGATGTTGCCAGGAGGGTCAGCGCCGGGGGAGCGGATGTTGTCAGGAGGGTCAGCGCCGGGGCAGCGGGCACTGTCGGAGGGGGTCAGCGCCGGGGCAGCGGGCACTGTCAACGTTTGATAGACACAGTAGGTGCACAGGCTGCTGTAAATCGCTGTTCTGGTTTTGGCAGGGCTGTGGTGGAGGCTGTTCATCGACTTGATGTCATCGTTTGCAATAAGACTGCTTACCGTGAGGTGTTCAAACCCGAAAACATCAGCCTGCGGAACAGGTATGTCACGGGGGGCAGGGGGGAGGTGCTATTATTGCAAAGGGTAAGGAGAAGGGAGGGGAGAGTTCAGAAGTCCCCGCGTAACTGTACAAGGTATTGGTGAGACCACACCTTGAGTACTGTGTGCAGTTTTAGGCTCCTTGTTGAAGGAGGGATATGCTGGCTTTGGTTTTAAAATGGAAGCGATCTCTGTCTGTTGATCCTTGGAGTTTCGTAAGAATGAGAGGGAATCATATTCAAACCTGTAAGATCCTGAGATGTCTTGACACGGTGAAGAGATAGTAAGAACTGCCGATGCTGGAGTCTGAGATACCACCGTGTGGAACTGGAGGAACACAGCAGGAAAGCTGATGTTTCGGATCAGAAATGGCGAAGGATGTCTTCCTCTTGTGAGAGAGATTCTAAAATTAGAATTAGGGTGTTACAGAACAGACCGAACCCCCTCAAAACACTTGATGAGGTTTACAATGCTACAAAGAGACAGAATACCTGAGGCAGAGATAGTAGGTACTGCAGATGCTGGAGAATCCGAGACAACAAGGTGCAGAGCTGGATGAACACAGCAGGCCAAGCAGCATCATAGGAGCAGGAAAGTTGACGTTTCGGGCCTAGACCCTTCTTCAGAATACCTGAGGCCTTGTTCATCGTAGTCGGTGACTTTGAACCAGGCCGACCTCATGAATGTGCTACCAAAGTTGTGTCTCCTGTCCC